TCGAAATAACGTCCAAGATAATAAGATGTTAGGAGGCAACGCGTATCGGCAAATTGGACGGTTTAGCTTATCCCGGATCCGGTGTATTCGGATCTCGTCTAGGACGAAAACCGATACACGCGGTGCAAATTTCTGGTGAAGACACGTGGCTGGATAATATATCCGGCAGAGAGGCGAGCAACGATGGATGATCGATTGGATGGGATAAAAAGCGGAATCACAAAGGATCAACGAGCGTCTCACCTCAAAGATGTGTCCCTTCGCTCGAGACGATCCCTGTCAACTACGACTCACGTCTTCCCCCCCCTCCCCCCTCCTCCCCCCTCCTCCCCCTCCCCCTCCTCCCCCTCCCCCCTCGTTGGCGAACACTTTATCTCGGTTGCATCATCTTTGAAACGTCCATCCACGAAGACGCAGAGAATACATATATATGTGCGTATATACGTATAACGTTAAACGAGGTAAAAAAAGAATAACGAACGGTTCGATCTCGAGGATGCGTATCTCGTATCCTTTATCGACAGCGAGAAACGATATAATATCCTGGGAAAATTTTATCGAGAAAGTCGTTACGCTAACGATCACGGAATTTCCATGAAATTGCTTATTAAATTACTAACTTTTTCTCGATGATTTAACGTTGCCGAGGCCATTTGTCTCCGCGGATTGTATCGCCTCTCCCCCTGTTAATAAAACAAACCCTGTTAGAGGCTTTACCCTCCACTTACTCGGAAACTTTTGCCATGACTTTCATCATCTGAAAAATTCATCTCGTTCCTTCGAATTTTTTTTTTTCTTCTCTCTTTTCCACTATCTTCCTCTATCCGTTATTACATAATACAAGTCTGTCCTCTTTTTTTAATCCTGTCATGAATAGTTCGAGAGAAGTTCGAACGTTTAACGTTGATTTCAAACGTGCAATTTTATATCCATTTACGGGTCACCACGTACGAATATTTTTGGAAGAGACGGCTCCATGGAAAATCGCGCGATCGATCCTGAATGAAAATGTTTGAAGCGCGCGAGTTTTGGCCGCGGCAAGCGTGCAGCCGTCGCACGGAAAGACACGCTAGGCTACGGTAATAATAATAGCCGAAATATTCGCCGGTTTATTCGTCGTATGCGTGGATGTGAGCACGATTTCGTGGGATGTCGGCTGGCAACATGTGGTTCGACGAACGCAATCTGCCACTGACATTTCGAATTAAACCCGTCAAGGATTGCCCTTATGCCCTGAAAAAAAAAAAGAAAGAAAGAAAGAAAAGAAAAAAGAGAATATATTTTTCGAAAATCATAATTTTGCGAAAATTAACGTGTCTCGATATCTATATATATACATATACTTTCGACATACAAGTTCGAAGAACGAGAGAAACATTATTTACTTACGGATATGTTTGAATCAATGGTATTACTGTATAAGGGAAAGAGCAGAAGAGGCCGCAAAAACTGGAAAAGGGTTCTTATAGTCGTAGCTTTCAAGCTTCGACTAAGCCGATATGCATTCATTATAATAAGAAATGGAAGACGGCGAGTGAAAAGTTTGAACGCGCCCCGGCTTATCAACTTCCTCTGAATTTTCTATTATTTAAGAGAACTCTCGTTCCATCTTTCATTCGCCCTCTCTCTATCTCGTCTGTCTTCGTTTTGGACGCCTTCCTCCTCACCTTCCTGGCCATTCGTGCCACTTCCTTCCAAACACCGCCGTCGAGGTACCGACCAACTTAACTTAACTTTCTTCTTTCGATGCGGTGCAAAAGCTAAGATGCGCGGCATTTGAAGTTCCCCGAATAGCCATTAGCATATTTATTTGTCATTCAATGCAGCCTTAAACGCGTTTCACCCGTAAAACTGGCAACTTCCTTCAACTCGTATCACCGTGGATACCGAACGATAAAGAACACTCTGTTGCTTGATATATATATATATATATAGTTTATCCTTAAAAATTCACAGTGCAAAGATAATATAAAAATGTGTCTATAAAAGTATATTTTCATTTACAAGCAGATATTGCTTTAAAGTAAACCATTCTTTCGTATGTTATTCAATAAGATAATCTTCGATGCATACCGTAG